TTAGTACTTTCTTCAAAAAGCACTTGTGATGTCTTTGAGATCTATTCAGAATAGGAAGTAGTTACTTTGAAGGAATATAAGTTAAAATTAATAAAATGGTACTTCACGAAACTTAAGAGTTTTCTTTGAGAAAAGCCAACAGGCTTAATTTTTCATTTTCTTCAGGAAAAATAAGACTACTGATAAACTGTTATCCTACCTAATTGCAAATTCAGATTTAATTGCCAACTTAAAAACATGAAATGCCATTGTTTGCACAGAACCGTGAGGGAATAAACGGACCCCTTCCCTTTCTCCCACTCCCATTACTGACTCACAATCTTATGGAAAAGCTACACCACAGTGCTGAGTGTGCTAGGAGGCTGGGGCAGGTGCAGTTCCCCACCCCACCAGATCCCTGGGGCTGTGTGCCTCTTGGGAGTTTTACGATGATCATAGGTAGGGAGATGCTGACCCCAGGAAGAGCTGGACATGCCTGATTGCTGTTAACTTTCAGTCTCAGGAAGAAAAGTCACTACCTCTATTCTCTGTACTTGAAACTGTTCTATTGAGCTGTACCCAAACTCTGCTTTGTCAGAAAAATGACAAGTCACAGGAAAAAGTAGTGGTTTTATCTGGGTAAGATAAAATAATAATAATAAAAAAATAATAATGATGATGATACAATGGGGTGGGGAGTGGTTGGGTGCAGCCAAATCCTGGGCGGGCATCACAGCCTGGGGCTGCTGGAATCACCCTTCCCCTGGGTCTTCGTGCAGTTGCAAGTTGTAAAGAATATGTGCTCACACAATCTGAGCCCTGTGGGCAGCCTGCACAGGACAGGAGGGAGGAGGGGCAGTGGGTTAAAATATCCCACAGGCCCCTCCCAATCCACCCTGGAAAACTATCAATAGTTTCTATATGGATGTTCTAGGGGCATATAACTACAAATATCTAGAACATACTTGCTTGTCCTAGAAGAGTTTGCAATCTTGCCTGTCTTTTGTAGGGGAAAAGGGGGCTAAAAGGAAGTTGTCTATTGCTCTTTTTAAAGTCTGTTGGGGACACCAATATTCATAGCAGCGCTATTCACAATCGCCAAAAAGTGGAAAGGACTCAAATGCCCACCGACAGATGAACAGACCAACAAAATGTAGTACATACAGATACAAGGGAATATTATTCATTCAGTCCTAATAAGGAAGGACATTCTGGCACATGCTACTAATCCACAGGTGACCTTTAAAGGCATTATGCTAAGAGAAATAAACCAGACAAATGGACAAAAAAACAACGCACGATTCCACTTATATGAGGTACCTAGACTAGTCAATGGGAAGAAAGTAGAATGGTAGTTTAGGAGCCGGGGGTAGGGGAAACAGGGAATTTCATTTAATGGGTTTCCATTTGGGAAGATGAAGAAGTTCTGGAGATGGGTGGTGGTGATGGTTAGAGAACGATGTGAATGTATTAAATGCCACTGAACTGGCACATTTAAAAATAGTTTAAATGGTCAATTTTATGTTATGTGTATTTTGCCACAACAAAAATAAAGAAAAAAGTCTATTGGAATTTAAATAACATAACTAATTTTTTGTTTTGTGTCTACTAGGGAACTCCCACTAATTTATAAAACATTAAAAAAAAATCACAAGGGAATTATCTGGCCTGTATGCCATTTTAACCTTAGGATAGCATTTCTTGAAAGGTAAACTCGTTTTAGAAATGCTTTCAGAATCCTTGAGAGCCAACAGTAAGGTAAGTGGTTTTACCAACATTTATTTTGGGGACTGATACCACCTGGGAGTTGTAGGGAGGGAGAGAAAAGGAAGGAGATGCTGTCTGACCTTCTAAGTGGTTGTCTCCCAAACCCACAGAGGCCTCAGGGATGGTCCCATGTGGGCAAAGGGCTAGTGATTAAAGGCTGTGGGGGAGGAGAGAGGAAGAGGGAGTCTTTAAATTTAATTTTAGAAAAGGTGACTTTTAAAAAAAAAATTCGGATATGACTTCACAGATGTTCACTTTATTGATGACTTTTTATTTATATATCACCTATATTCTTTTGTATCAAATGTTTTATAAATTTATTCCAGTTGCCTATTCTAATATTTTAAGTTTTTCATGTTTAATTGCTAAATTATTTTATCACATTTTGTTCTGAAAAATTTCCTCCCAATTCTGTAACAAAATTATTAAATCATTATATATTCACTTGCTGCTGTTTTTCCTGGTGACATGTATTTTGGCATTAAAAAAATTTATTTTATTTTGTTTTTTCCCCATCACTATTTATCCCCCCTATACCCTTCTCCACCTCCACCTCCACCGCTTCCCCCCTCAATGTCCATGAGTTCTTTCTCCCTGTTTTTTCTTTTTTGCTCACTCCCTCCATGCCCCCTGCTTCCCCCCCTAAGACCCCCGGAGTTGTCAGCCTGCTCTCTATGTATGAATATATCTCCTTGGGCAAGGGAAATGAAAGAGTAAACAAATGGGACTACATCAAACCTATTTTTTGGGTTTTTAAAAAATATTCACTTGTTTTATGTAATGTTAGAAGGAAAAAAGCCCCTTAAAAATATATAATCTGGTTGTTTAGATAAACAGAAGGTTTTAAAGATTAAAAAAAAAAAGTCACCCAAATCTGTTAATTCTTAATCTGGTGACTCATCTGCCCATTGGAAAAACAAACACCTTTAAAATACACACACACACAAAACCATACAGAAGTAAAGCTATGATAAGTGAGCCCATAAATCCCCATCACTCAACTTAAACAATTCTTGACTCCTGGCCAGTCTGGCTTCATCTATACTCTTACATTCTTCCTGTGTCCTCTCAGATTATTTTGAAGCAAATCCCAGACATTATACCATTTCATCCATAAATATTTCAGCATGTGTACCTGAAAGGATTGCTTTTAAAATATACCTGTGATGTCATTATCACACCTAAGTCATTAACAGAGTTGAATGTACCTCCTGGCTATTTTTAATTATTGTTTTGATAAGCTTGCCTCACTGGTCCCCTGAGCACAGGAAAGCAGATCAGCACAATGCAGTTGGCATTGGCTTTGAAGTGAGTTAGACAGATACAGGTGTGAACCTGGTTCTGCCATAAATAGCTATGTGATCCTGGGGAAAGTTACTTAAACTCTAAGTTCTACGTCTGGAAAATGGGGGAAGTAACTCCACCTACCTTAAATACTATTATATAATCAAGTGAGGAAAAAATATACACACACACGTGCCAGTAGACTATAATATACTAATAGCAAAGTCACCTATGTTCCTGAGTAAAAAAACTTCCTGCTGGAAACCCTTATTAATCATTGCACAAAAATGTCTAGAACCACTCAGATGGTGACAGCCACCCCATAAAGCATCTATCCCAGATGTGGCAAACTTTATAAAGGCCTTGGCAGTAAGTATCTTAGGCTTTGCAGGGCAGACAGCCCCTACAAAACTATTAAATTCTCGCATTGTAGGGCAAAGCAGCATAGACAAAATGGAAAGAAGTGGGTAAGCTATGTTCCAATAGAACTTTATATATGGATACTGAAATCTGAATTTCATTTAACTTTTCACATGTCATGAAATGTTATTCTTGTTTTTTATTTCCCTACCATTTAAAACTATAAAAATCATGCTTAGGTTGTGGGGCAAATGAGAAGAGGTAGTGGGCTGGAACTGGCCCTTGGGACCCTGTTTAGCAACCCTGAGCTCTCCCATTGCACCAGCCTCAGCACACACAAAATCCTGAATGAGTGGCCTGCTTTTCATTATTAATAAGAGATGAAGCCCTAGCTGGTTTGGCTCAGTGCTTAGGGTGCCGCCCTGTGGACTGAAGGGTCCCAGGTTCCATTCCATCCAAGGGCATGTATGTCATCTGCAGGTTCGATCCCTGGCCCCGGTTGGAGCACATGGGGGAGGCAACCAATCTATGTGTCTCTCTCTCACATCGATGTTTCTCTCTCTCTCCCTTCCACTCTTTCTGAAAAGCAATGGAAAAAATATCCTCGAGTGAGGATTAAAAAATAAAATAAAATAAAATAAAATAAAATAATAAAATAAAATATGAGATGAATTCACTGGAGACATCCAAGGGCATGCATGAGTATCTGACAATAATATTAAGACTCTGGCAGCTCTGGACTAGACCTAAGCTTTGAGAAACACTGTGGAACAGTCTCAACGAAGCCAGAGTACAGCTGCTTCTGCTCAATCCCTCCAGCGTTCCATAGGAAATCACCCCATAATTTCCCTTCTTTCCCCACTCTCTCTAACAAAAATATAGTTGATTGTGATATATAAGGACAGAGTTCTATAGGCCATAAACTTCTAACTTTTTCAGACACAGAAACTGAATGTATAACTTGTTGGAGCTAGCATGTGTAAACAGCTATAAAAGCTAAATGCATCGTATCCAATTTCTATGATAAAACAATTTGGAAGGCATGACTTGACTTGGACATGATCAGAATCCATGTAATGGGTAGAGTTATACAGGGTTTCTGCTGAGTTTCAATAAATGTACTGCTGCTAACAACCAGGCAATCCCTCCAAACACATGTACCTCCAGCCCCCTGCCACAACTATTATTTCAACTCCGACGACTGTCTTTATAAGTATTAATAATGTTCCAATGAGAAAACAAGAACCTCACACTCCAGGTGCATACTCACAGCTATACATTTTAGAGTTTTTCTAATTTTTTTCTCCATGAGGGTTTAATAAATAGAACCAAAGGCTTTTTTTCTCCTACGATCTTGCTGGAAATAAAAATCACAAAAATCAATCACAACTGCTTCGGTTCCAAGAGCAGAAGCTCTTGGTTTCACCACACAACAGGTTTCTCCCATGGACGACTGATGTACATACTCTGCATTATTAAAAGAGCAACGGAGTTAAACGAGTTACCTACAGAGCGTTTACACCTTTTGACTCATATATCCTTGAAGTGATAAAATTATATAAACAGATAATTTCCCATCTCAAAATTAAGAAGACAAACATCATGCTTACTTTCTCTAAATGCTTTACAGTAGCCCAGGAAGGATAGCAGAAAGAACAGGGCACCCAGGAGGTCTGCACGCCCAACAACACCAGCAACCTTAAAAGAAGGAAAAAAGATTTACATTAAAAAAATTTTAATTCTAAACTTAGGAAATACAAAAAATTCCTTAGAGACAGAAAACAAAAACCTTATTAGACTCTGCCATCTATTAAAATAATCTGTGTGCCCTGGCCGGAGCGGCTCAGGTGAGCGCTGTCCTGTGCACCGAAGGGTCACCAGTTTGATTCCGAGTCGGGGCACATGCCCAGGTTGCAGGTTCGATCCCCCGTAGGGGAACGCAGGGGAGGTAACTGATCGATATTTCTCTCATATCCATGCTTCTCTCTCTCTCTCTCCCTTCCTCTCTCTCTAAAAAAAAAAAATCAATGAAAACATATTTTTAAAATAATCTGTGGCTCCGTGGTTAGAGTGTCAGCCTGTGGACTGAAGGGTCCTGGATTCGATTCCAGCCAAAGGCACATACCTCAGTTGTAGACTTGATCCGTGGTCCTAGTCTGGGCTCATGCGGGAGGCAACCAATCAGTGTGTCTCTTTCACATCAATGTTTCTCCCTCTCCCTTTCTCTCCCTGAAAAGCAGTGGAAAACATATCCTCGGGTGAAGATTAAAAATAGTAAAAAATAAAAATAAATTAAATACGCAATGAGAGTTCTTGAATAGTCTGGCCTCTAACTCACTCAGTCAGGGACACAGTAAAATCAGGAATGCAGTGAAACCAGAGCACACAGTGGGTGCTGGCTCACCGTTACTCTCATGAATCCCAAAGGGCACTTCTATAAACACGAGGAGCAGAAAGGAGCGAAAGGACACAGCAGCTCAGGGTGACACAGCACCAAGGGGCTCCACAGCACCTTGGTGAGTAGGGATGGAGCAGCTGATGCTGCGAGCCTCCCTCTAGGACAATGACAGCTGTGGCTATCTACAGGGCCTGAGGATGGCAGGAATCCTAAACCCTTAGGAAGAATAAAGGAAGCGAATCCAATCCAGAGAAGGGTATTCAAAGGGTTCCTTAGATCATGGAGGTCAGGGGGTAACGGGGGCGGGTCAGAGAAAAAGGTTCCTTGAAACGAGTGAAGGGTAGGGAAGTGGTTTGGATAAATACAAGAATAGTGGCCAAAACAGCCAACCACCTCTTACTTGGGTACAATTAAAGACTTATACTACCATGAGCCTTAAACTTCACTTATTTTTAAAATAAGTATTTTTCCTTTGGCTAACTAGTGAAGATACCACCAAGTTTTAAGCCATGCACATTACATTGTCTGATGCAGTTTTTAAAACTATGGCAAATGTCTTAAAGTAAAAAGAGCATCTAGTCCCTACAATGAGTTTTTGGCATAGTAATTAAAGAGATTTCATAGAAAAGATTGTAAACGGCTGTCCAAGCAGGCACCACATCTAACTGGGGAATGGGCATGAGTACAGAGACTTTATTCTTCTTTTCTGATACTTGCATAATGTATTTGCAGGCAAAGTTCTTTACAAAGGCTGTATTTTTTTTCATACAAATAACTTGAAGCGCTCATATCAGGATTTTGAAGGGGTTCAGAACATATTTCCCCACGATGTGCCACTTTGGCATGTGCATTATTTTGAGCTGAAGGCAGTGGAGACCCTGGGGGCTCCGGGGAAACTTCTGTTCCTCCCTTAACTACCTAGAAGAATCTAAAATGGGGGTCTTGCCCACAATGAGTTATCACCAGAAATAACTTTTTATGACCTATCTATAGGGCAGGGCAAACTTCTAATTACTAGACATCTGCTCTTATCATATTGCAAACTTCCCTCCTCCCTCTGACGCCCCAAGGCCTCTGACATCCTTCCTTGGCTCAGGATGTCACATGTACATCATTTTCCCTTTCTGTCTCTGACCTCCTCATGTATGTGGGGTTCCCATACACATGTATGTAATTGAATTTGGTTATTTTCTCTTGTTAATCTGTCTCATGGTGATTTAATTACTAGACCAGCTGAAAGAATCCAGAGTAAAATTCCTTCCTCACCCTGAGTTCTCTGGAGAAATAACTGGAACCCCCTGCCCACCTCCAAATCCATAAAGCAGGTGGCATCACTGTTTCCCCACTAGGAACAATGTGCACAGGGGCCACAGGGAGGAATCAGGAGAAGGTGACAAGGAGAATGTTTCCCCACCCAGCACTTTCAGCATTAAGCTCTGGGTTCGTTGGATGGGCAAATTAAGGAGGCCTGAGCTGCCTTCTTTGATGCCTGAATTCAGGCAACTTGAAATCTTCACCAATACTTAGAGGAAGAGGAAAACTTATAGTTGCACTGTGTCCTCAGGGAAACCCCAGGGACTCCTTCCTGGTCTCCAAAGAGACAAGGGGCTAGGTAACCACCTCCTGAGCTCCCCTCCCTCTTCTGGTGACAGGTATGTTGGAGGCCTTATCCATCTACAAATACCCCAGAGTGACTAGGGGTGGTTGAAAATGAGAGACATTCATACGAGTTGGGGAGCAAAATAAAACTGATTACAATTATTTCACTACCAATTGGGGACCATGAGGTGGGAAGTCTACAGGGTGTGACTGACTCATCTCAGTTTGCCTACGACTATTCCTGTTTTGAAATGGAAAGTCCTATGTCCCACAACCCCCTTAGTCTTAAGTAAAGTGGATGGTTAGTCACCCCAAGACTGGAAAATGTAGGTTCTTTTTTTCAATCCTCACCTGAGGATATGTTTTTTTATTGATTTTCATAGAGAGAGGAAGGGAAAGAGAGGGAAACATTGATGTGAAAGAAGCATCCATCAGTTGCTTCCTGTATGCACCCCAACCTATGCTGGAACCCACAACCTAGGTATGTGCCCTGACAGGGAATTGAACCCACATCTTTTGGTGCACAGGACCATGCTCCAACCAAGCCACTTAGCCAGGGCACAGAAAATGTAGGTTCTTGTTTGCAGTGAGCAAAAATATTCTCAATATTAATGCCAAGACACAAAACACATAAATGTTAATATAAAGAAATTTACATTGCTAAAACTGGAGGGGCCTACACTGCCGCTGTTTTCCCTTAAAAAATGTAAACAGAAGCAGTTCAATTATTCCCAAATCCTCAATACTCATCCCAGATCAACGTTCAGTTGGGGTGGGAGGTGGGGATGCTGTGCCCAGGGCTGTTGTTAGAGACCCTGGAACGGAGGGCAGGAAGATTAAGACATTTCTCCAGATACTCCCTTTTCTCCTATAGCTAGACTTCTCTCGGCTTATTTTTCATTGTCTCAAATGTAGAATTTTGGTGGTAACATCCCCAGATGTGTGGACGGCTTCTTGACCTTACACAAGCGCAGATGCCGGGACAGGTGATACTCACACACTCGGTGTGCACTGGATGCACAGCAAACAGCAGGGCAGCCAGCAGGGACGATCTGGGGGCCAGGTTTAACCTCCGGCCTTTACTGCTGTACTGCAGGCCACCAAAGAGCACCGAGAAGACATCCACCATGAGGACAGAGATGCCACTGTGCAGGAGGATATTGACCACGTGGAAACTCATCGGGTGGAAGCCTCCGGACAAATAGTAGTTAATCCTGTAGCAAACGAAGGGTGCTCACACCAGGTGCGCAGAAGCACAGGAAATAAAGTGCAAACCATCTAAAGGGAAAGGCTGGTGAGTGAGAATATTAAAAGGAGAAAAGAAAGACTGTGCAACTTTGGTAAAATAACACCAAGATATATAATGCTGTCAGGCTCTGAAGATTGAAGAGAAGGTAAGAGCATAATTAACTGCAGAGGGGGAAATGGACTGTAAGGGGATCTCAGAGGAGGAAACAGAAAATGCTTGGAGAGGGAAAGCGAAAGAAAAGCTAGATAAAATTTTAAGTGCAAAAAAGGCAAGACTGCATTCCAAAAACATGTATCACACATTACTCATGGCTATCCCATAGGAACTTGGTTATAAGATAGTCATGGAACTTGCTTATCCAAAAAAAAAAAGGACTTTACAGTTTGTCTACCAGCCTTCTGAACAATGAACCACTTTTTCATTGTCAGGGATTCTTATTTCTGACTGCTTTTCAATTACCAGTGGTTCTAATTCATCACTTCCATGCTTCTTTGAGAGATCTATAGACAAGTATTTAATGCATCAAAGAAACAACTATGAATGGAAACTTTGTGTGGTGAATAAATCTATTTAATGCAAACAGCTCCCTGATTAATGGGGAGAGTTAGATTGTTTTTAACTTCATTTGTTTTTGCCTATTGACTTGGACACAGCAGGAAGATTTATGCCTTTTATTTCTAGTGAAAAAAAGCGACAATTTCATCTGATGCCACATGTTGCCTTGACTCCTATTTTTTTCCTGGGTGTTATCGAGCAAAGGGTCCAACCTCTAGGAACTGTGAACACTTCACCGATTTACATGCCATCCTTGAACAGGGGCGAGGCTAATCTGCTCTGTACTGTTCCACTTTTAGCATCTATCTGGCCAAAGGAAGCCCTGCAATAAAGTTTCCTTATGTACGTTCTTTCCATCTTCCTCTGACATAACAGGTACATTATCATGAACTTCTTGAAGACCCATATAGGTGAGTGGCTTATGCTTCCCTAGGAACCACTGCTTGACTCACAGACCCTGGGAACCTTGTCACATACAACCTAGTACATTATAATGCACAAGCTTTGGGTGACCCTGCAGTACAGCCCACACTGTCATACCTCACCTGAAAGTCAGGACGGTGAGAGGTCGGTAGGACTTGTGGCTGGTGTTGCTGCTCAGCCTACTGCCCCAGAAGTCATGATGCCACAGGTCCCCAAGGGGTGTTTCTGCTCGGAGGTCCTGCAGGAACACAACCAGAGGACATTCAGGACAAAGGAGTCATGACCTTACCCATAGCTAAGCCCTCACCAAGTCCTCTTCTTTAAAATTCCTCACACCTCTGTTCTCCATCTCCCCCACCACCCTGGGTGAAGCCAACATCACTCACCTCGACACAGGCAGGCCTCCTAGCGGGTCTACTGTGCCCTCTGACCTGTTCTCCACATTGACCTTTCCAAATGCAAATTGAGTCACTCCACCCATCCCTGCTTAAAACAATGCAACTGCTCCTTCCTCCTCCAGGACAAAGCGATGTCTCAACATAGACATCACACTCCAGGGTGCTCTGGCTCCAACTAAACTCTACATGCTCATCTCTCGGACTTGGTGATCCTGCTAATGGCCTTCCTCTGGCCCCCACACAGCTCCTGCTATCATCCATCCCAAAGGCTTCCCATGTTCAGGGTTCCACCCAGATGGTCACTCCTCAACCCTTCACAACCCAAGCTCCTCCCACCATTCATATCTCAGCCACTGAGCTATAACCTTCCTGAGCTGATGCAATTTACCTTCTGTGGGTCGTGGGCATCTTGCACCTATTCTTACAGCACCTGGCACACTGGCAATTTAGTCATGTAACTATTATGTATCTGCCCCACTGGCCTGGGGCTCTACGAGAAGCCTGGGACACATCTGTGTTTGCTGGGAGTACAGGCAAGATGCCTAATCTATGCTGAATGAATGAATGGACCATATAGCTAAATAAGACCACTATTTCTCTCTCTCATGAGTGAATAAACATGTATTTTTTTAAGTTTCCCATTTTTGATCATGAGCTAAGCAAATAGTAATATTAAAGAAAAAAACAACTTCCACAAAATTTTTAAATATAAAGATAACTTAAGCATTAAAAAAAGCACTACACCTATCTTCCTACTAAGGTAATTTAATTTGGTACTGTACTACAGATGCTTAAAATACATTTTTTTTCACATTTAAATATGAAACTAGATTGTTTCAACCGTGCCTAACAAGAAGGCAGACAGGTTACTGTGGAATAACAAAACTGAATATTAATTCTCTTTAAAGCATAATTAAACAGGAATATTTTAGAGACTACAAATTATGATGTACTGAGCACTGCATGGTCTATCAGTCAGGATGCTTTGTTGCAGTAACCAAAACCAACTCTGATTAACGTAAGTAAAAAAGAATGCTTTAAAGGGGAGTGCAAGGCTCATGGACTCCCAGGTAGTTGGAAAACCAGATCAGGGCTGTGCAGCCAGAAGCACACCCACAAATCATGCCACTGGACATCTTGCTGAGGCTGCCCAGCCACCTCCAGACCTCACCTCTTTGCATGACTAGCTCCCCACTCCAACAGGTAGTGCACCTGACAGGAGAGCCTGTGTCAGTGTCTCCATCTAAACTGGACAGTCTTTGCAGCTTATAACAACCAGAAGGTGGGGAATGCCCCAAGCAGAGGAAGTGTGTTAAATCATGGCTGGTCCAAGAGAGCAACCAGTGTCCATGACTCACTCACCGGAGGTCAGTGAGTCCTAGCTATGTAAGTGCTAGGACTCAAAGAGACGGACTTGAGAAAAGGTAAGAGATACAGAATTGGTGACTTGATACCCACTCCAAGGATGCATTTCTTTTCCATTGCGTATCAGCTTCAGACCCCTTAAGCATACCGACACCCTCTATGAGTCAGTTAGATATTTCCTGAAGGTCCCGTAATCCACCCACCGAGTTTACTCAGTTACAAAATTGGAAGTCCATCTTCTTTTGCACTGTCCCAGAAGTGCCCATTCAGCTGTGAAGGGGTTGGGCAGAGGATCTTTTTTTCCATGTGAGCAGAAAATAAACACCAATAAGGCTCTAAATATTTGATTAGGTGTAGCCTACATAGAGCAGGAAGAGCTATAGGCAGAAAGGCCAATTTTTCCTGATAACGATTTATGGAAAAGATGTGTTATGTCTGAAATTCCTGCTAACTCCATATCTCAAAGGAAATCATCACCTCGATGAAAGGCAACTCGACACCACAAGGGTGCATCTGGAAAACAGTCTTTAACACCAAAAAAACCCAGTAACAGCCTGTTTCACATTAACGTAGGCTCAGTGCCAGTGAATGGAGGAGCGCCTTTCATTAAACAGGAAAGGAAAAGGGAGGGCTAGCAAGTTACCAAAGGGGCGCAGTGTGATGCTCTAGAAAACACTGCCAAGACAATGTGCAGTAGAGCCACAACATGGCTTCATCTGCCGTACCCCACATAGAAGGAAGGAGAGATACACCCACACACCAGGGCATCCCACATACAGCAGAGCTCAAGCTGTCCCTTGCCTTGCTTACCCAAGTTCTTCCACATAGGTTCTGAGTTAATACTTTATATATCTCCCACTTACTACAAGTGGAAGAGTCAAGATACTCTCAATAAAATGAAGAATAAAAATTTTTAAGTAAAGTCATATCCTCAAATCCTTGTTAGGAAAGCAATTCTGTAGCTATTAAGCTGGTAACCTGACATAGCTGCTTAGAGCTACAAACTCCTTTTCCTTTTAAGCATGGTTTAAAAAGAGCTGAAATAGAAACATCTGTAGTAACCGCTGCATGAACTTGAGGAAAACTACAAATAAAGAACTGGAGTTAAAAACAAGCATCAACAATGCTGTAGTTTGTGCCATCAAAATAGAGAACATCAGTTGCAATGCATTACAAATAAAATATCTGCAAAACAGTCATTCCCCCCACCCCCATATCAAAAAATGTTTGTCCCACAGACAATTGTTTCCAATATTTTCAATGTGAAAATGACTTCTCCCTCATTTGGTAGAATCCATGACTTCAAAAATTTAAGAGCATTCAACAACACTGTTACAAAGAGTTGCTACAATTGCATCTACCAGAGAGAAAAATCAGTATATTCCTTCAAACTCTCTTCTTTGGTTAAGGCATAAAACATCTGCTGAGGGACTAGACTGTCACAGGACTCTAACCTGTGCCATTTTCATGGTCTTTCTCCTCTGGGCCCTCCCTGCCTCTGACTTTCTTGTTCAGATTTTCTTTAAGCTCGCTTAAATCTTTCTTTTCCGTTCCCACAAACTTATTTCTTCTTCCGTATCTCTAGTTAGCAAGTGAAAGAGAGTATCATTTTCCCTGAACCAGTGTAGCACCCACTGGTGAGCAGAAGTGGCGGGGATTTTGCAGGTTCAGCAAATTTTAGTCTCCGAGCATGACATGAGCAGGAACTGCATTGCTCCTGTCCTCCAGCAGCTGTCAGCAGGCTGTCCTGATGCTATCAGCGAAGGACACAGAAGTCAGCTCGCTGCCTGCTGCTGAGGACGTATGTACCTTTTGGTGGATGATCAGACTCATCCGTCACTGCAGCAAATGTATGGTTTTCTTTTTTCTGGAACAGTTCTGGCCTGGACTTCTGGAGATTTGTCACAAACCCTGAAACACTCAGTCTGCAGTGCCCTGCAACACCCTTGCTTTGACATCTCAGAATAACAGTCTCTCCGATACATGTGCGGCCTGAGGCCTCACATCATGTAAGGTACATGGGCAGAATAAAGCCTGAGGTGAGGCAGGGGTTGGAGACCCTGTCTAAAGAGATGGGAAATCCAGAGCACAACTGGGGCCCAAGCACATGCTTAACCCAAGTTTAATAGAAAATAATTAAACACAAGCTTAGATTATTACTGAGACGTAGGCACGCGGTTAACATAAGTTTATCAGAAAGGAATTAAGATACAAACCTTATTGTTAACAATAGCTTCAGAGTCATCAAAGACAAAATCTCCATCATAGCTACGTGCAAAACACACGAGGGACACAAACCCCACTACTAACTTAGCCCAAAAAGGAGGAACCGAAGATGGAATGATGTGATCCAAATCGGCCTCCAATTCGGCCATGATGAAAACTGCAGGCTGTCAGCCTCTGGCTCCAGCATTATGCTGGTTAGAAATCTGCAAGAAAAAATAACATGATATAATTATTCATCGGTGCACTGTTAGGATGTTTCTGCACTGGACATATTTGCCTTGAGCGAATGTTAGACAGTCATGTATGCTTTGATTTCACAGGGTGCACTCATTAAAAACTTTAAGCTGTGGTTTTCAAACTCTAGTGGGCAGAAAGTCACCCAGGACACATACGGATTCTCCTGGGCCCAACTGCAGCCCACCAAACCAGAAACCCTTGGGTTTCTGATGCTGGATTGTCCATGAGAAACACTGATTTAATGGACTCCTATATTTGTCAACCCCATAACGGAAATCACTTTTTATAGTCTTGGAACCAGTTTACAAAGTTAAAATAAAAGTTACAATCTTACTGCATCCAATCAAGAAATATTCATTTGTTCTGTCTTACCACATTGTATAAGGGTGTGTGTGTGTGTGTGTGTGTGTGATGAAACATGACTATAATTCTAAGAACTCAAGACACTCATGCCAGTTGGATGAAAATCCAGGAGAGAGGTTTTAATAGAGATAACGAAGAGGGGCACACTGATGGTCAGGTTAATGGCTCACAGAGATGACAGAGAGAGGAAGGAGAGAATGTTGCAGACTGAGTGGTTTGGGATAATATCTCATTCCAGAAAGGGCTGAGCTGTATCTGAAAGAGAAGGGGAAGTTATTCTGTGACCTTCAATATCTGTAAAAGAGTCAAGTTAAAAATATACACTTATTTTTAACTTTTCTTTCAAACAGGCAAAATATCAAAGCCAGAAATTTTTGTCTTAGCTTTGCCACTTAGTTCTGTGGCCTTGTGCCTGTCCGCCATCCTCTCAGGATCTGTGTCCTGTGGCACTCTGCAAAGCATAACAACTTTCCAGCAGTGAGAGCTTCCTGCCTTAGAATTCACCCAAATAAACACCAAACTACTTCCCCAAATCACATTTTATCTGTCCCCATTCCCACCACACCCTGAATAGGTGCTTTCTTTGGATTTACCAGAATCCTTTTTGGTCAACCTTCCAATCCTATGTAACTTTGGACAAGTTACTTAACCTCTCTGGGCCTCAGTTTCCTCACCTCTAAAGTGGGGACAATAACTGTGCTGACCTTATATGGTTGTCAAGAGGGTTAAAAAAGACATCTACCTAAAATGCTTCGAAACACTGCCGTTAGAAACACTGGCTTTAATAAATGCCAAGGGGTGGTTAGCTTTATTGCAAGTACCTTCTTCTAGGAGGCTGAAAGTACAGGCACAGAACTATCTTCTTTTGAAAATCCCCTTTAATATCTGGTTAATGGGTACTAAGGCTCTTGTCTTTCCTGGTAAGGGTCCTGCCCCCATTCTCCTCCTGCTGAGACAGAGGAGAATCCCAGGCCCCTGGGAGGGCAGTTTGAATGTGTTTGTTTCCAGGTCTCCAAGGAAATACCCCATATTATGGAATCAATAAGAAGTCACCCAAAGGGGTCCACTGAGGTCACAGACATCTTTTTGATAGGCTCTGAGTAAATGTGGAGACAGATCCAAGCTAACAATACACATCATCTGATGCTAACACTGTCTTTTCAGATTTTCAACCCAGAGACGAAAGGCTCTGCAACTCACTGCTGGTCCCTTTGAGCTTCTCCACCTGGGGGGAATTCCAGCTACTACCCGCTGTGTTTTTTCTTTTCCAATCAAAGGATAAACTATTGGTTACCTCCAAATTACAGCTGCAAACACTTAGGTCACCATGCAGGCCCCAACCACTGCTGTCTACACGTCAGCTAAACAAATTACTCCTATTACTTAAAATAAACAAATAAACAAGACTGAATCATTAGAGATACCATGCCTTAACATGGAGAGAATCAGTGTTCTCTGATTTAGAAAGTTAATGTGGAACACAGCAAATACTTTATACCAGTTTTAAACGCACAACAGAGCTGTGAACATGACAGTCAGTCTTGATTTTTGTCTGCTTTAGGCCCAAATATTTCAATATTATCTCACAAAAGGTGGTCATGAGGTTCAAATGGCCTTATGGGAAGAGTACTGAATCAGAAGTAATTTGTGCTTCTTAAATTAATTCTTGGGCCTCGCTTGTCATCTCAGATTGTCTGTAACACATGCTAATCATTTGGGTACTCAGGCACAATGTAGCCCCTACATCTGGGCCAAGACCGGGCTCCTGGGGAGTCAACAGGAAAGTTGAGCCAGTCTCGGAATGATTCCCCTCTTCTCCTGCAGGGCCATCAGAGACCCTCTGCCCACTTACTGCCCTCCGCGCTATTTCTCCAGTCTGGCCGGCTCCCCTCCTCTTAGCAGCTTCCCCCCCTCAGTATCCAAGGTTCCCACTTCTTTGCTGCGCCACCTGCTCGGCTTCCCCAAACTCCAAGCCTGCGCAGGGAAGTGACGGCTGGGTGGCCCCCGGTGCCCCCCGGCGGGTGGCAAGCGGCTCTCGGCCGCTCAGCTCCGCAGCCAGCGCGTAGTTGTCACTCGCTGCGCCGCAGGGGAGCCGCCTTAACCCAGGGCAGACGGCCAAGCGGCCAGGCTGCGCACAGCCAT